ATATCACAAACTAGTCAAAACATTTACTAAATTTTATCATCGGTATAAGGACATCATTCGTAAATATAGCTCAACATGCAGACTTCTTATACGTTCAGGTATTTCACATCCAATTTTTTATGGAAATATTCTTTATAAAGCACAAAAATGTCAGTATTCACCTCTGAAGCTAACAAAACCTTTAAATAGACTTATTAAGAAGGGATATAGTTACGATACTGTTGTCAGGTCATTAAAGATTGCATATTTTGGCGTTAATATTGATTCACTTATAGGGTCTTTGCATCGGAACTAAACACATTTATTTAAAAACCAGTTGTTGGCATGACACGGGTTATGTTCTTCTCATATATGTTATGATGGTATGATACTAAACCCCTAACGGGAAGGATTGTGCCTGATATTCATATGATGAAGACATAATCTTTCAATCAGTTTAATTGAAGTCTGGAGCTGGCATGTCAGTTAACTGCTAGTAGTCTGTTGTTATTTATGTATTATTGTCATTTTGTTTATTTTCTTTGGTTACATCTTCTGACATCAGACTCGGACTTCTCTTGAACTGAATTTTAATGTGCGTATTGTTATGCGTTTACTTTTCTACATTGGCTAGAGGTATAGGGGGAGGGTTGAGATCTCATAAACATGTTTAACCCCGCCGCATTTTTGCGCCTGTCCCAAGTCAGGAGCCTCTAGCCTTTGTTAGTCTTGTATTATTTTTAATTTTAGTTTCTTGTGTACAATTTGGAGTTTAGTATGGCGTTCATTATCACTGAACTAGTATATATATTTGTTTAGGGGCCAGCTGAAGGACGCCTCCGGGTGCGGGAATTTCTCGCTGCATTGAAGACCTGTTGGTGACCTTCTGCTGTTGTGTGTTCTATGGTCGGGTTGTTGTCTCTTTGACACATTCCCCATTTCCATTCTCAATTTTATTTCAAAGGATTGTTTAAAAACTACAAAATTATGTTAAAAATCAAAGTGAAATTTAAAAAAGTAGTCTGAATATGTATAAGGAATGAATACATTGGAGCTTGGAAGTCTTAAGGTGTAGAAGAAAACATATACCGCATTTCCTTATTTTTATATAACAAACTGAAAATGCAACCAAGCATTGTAAGTATAAAGCTACTTCAAAGATTGGTATCAGTCAATAGAATAAAAAATTGAGTAAACAGATTTTGTACACGTAAGTTTTTGTTACAGATATCGAAGAACCTTCTCAAGCAAAAGCAGCTTATATCTAAACAGAAAAAAAAACTTCTCTAGCTGAGGAAGTCACATAATCAAACATAAAGAAATGTTCAAGTGTAGGCAACTGTCTTTTACCGCATTTGTGAGGCAACTACTTAAAAAATCCGAGACTTACTATTTAATTTAAACAAAAATCTCACTTTCGTCTAAAAGTGACAAAGTTCTGATAAAAAGATTCATAATTTTTCAAGGGAATTAACTTCTCATATTACAGATTTTTTTAAGAAGAAGGAGCATTGAAACGATGGTAGAATATGTAGACTTCTCCACAAAAAAGGACAAACTCTGCCCGCGCACCCATTAAAATAAATAAATAAATAAATAAATAAATAAATAAATAAATAAATAAATAAAAACCGTCAAATACGTCAAAAAAGATGGTCCATATAAAATAAGTGCACTTGCACTCGTTTCCCATTGCTTATTCTTATAAACCGGAATTAATTTTTGCACAATCATGATTATTTATTGTTTAAAAGCAAGGCGTGAAATGGCGATGCAAATTAATATTAATGATTTCGAAACCTATTATTAAGCATTTAAACTTATATGCTTAGAAATAGGTTCTTTAAATAGGTTTGCTTGATCATCGAGTGATAAAGTAAATTTAAAAAATACGACAAATACTTCTGTTTAAAATTATTGCTCCCTTAGTATTTTCATACTTTTTTTTTAATTCTATGATGACCGTAGAGCCCTATCAAAATGGAAGGTATAATAAGCTTGAACAAAAATGTATGAAAAGTTGCCCAAAAGTAAAAAACTAAATCTTAAAGTTTCATTAAATCATCGCTAGATTATTATAGAATTGAATGTTGTTGGTTTTTTTTTTAAATTTATACGAAATGAAAGGAAGTGACCATGAACATCACATTTTTTTTAGCAAGAAAAACAGAAAAAGCGTAGCATTCATTATATATTTACAAATATTTAGATAAAAAGATACATGTTACTAGTATTCTTTTGGGTCTGAAAGTAAAACTCTAAACACAAAACTTCGACTGAAATTGTCTTGTGAGATGAAGACAGTACCACATGTCATATGAAGATGTCGATTTCCAACTAGATAGCTCGTAAATTTTTTGGCAAATTTCAATCATAATTGTACATGTATATCATATGATGATAATTTATTGTAATATACATGTACTTTTACCAATTATCCATATTTTAAGATGTATTGTCATTTATGTTCAAAGGCATGAAGTACACGAACAATGTGAAAATAGTGTTGATTTATTAGATTGGTGGCGCTATTGATTCTATAATCTTGTGTTGCTTTTATACAGCATGTGTTGTTTTCATACAAAATGAAAGCATATCACGGAACCAAATATTCGTCTCTGATCCAATAAAAGATATTTATTTATACAAATAAGAAGACGTGGTATGCTTGCCAATGAGACAACTCTCCACCACAGACCAAATGACGCAGGAGTTAACTTGTATGAATTAAACATCTACTGTAAATATTGAACCTTACACGACAGTCAGTAACAACTGTGTAATTTTCACTTAGACTTTTAACTAAACAAGATTAAATGATTAAAAAACGAATACGTGACCTTTTATGCATACTTAACTCAAGCAAAATAACCCTGTTCAATAACATGTATCTGTCATATGTCAATTTAAACGTAAGAGAGGGACAAATATATATTCAACCCATTTACGATTATTTTGTGGTCGTAAATATAATCTAAATTTAGATTTAGTGCTTGTCGGTTTTCTAATGGGACTGAAAAGATCAATACATGATTTTGATAGGGAAACTAGATTATGATATTAAATAGTAGATAGATCTGGAGATTGAAGATATATTTTAGAAATAGAAGAAAAAGTTCATTCTATTATCCGGATTTATTACTGTAATTCAGTATTTACATACCTGCCACATAACTATTTCTAAATCGCCGTAAACTAGTCCTGCATGGCTTTTACAAATTGTGACTTGGATGGAGAGTTGTCTCATTGGCACTCATACCACATCTTCTTATATCTATTATTATCTTTAAATCGCGAAACACGTATATTGAGGAAATTTTATTTTAAATACTAAGATTTAGTAGACAGCCATCCATCAACTGATCACATCACGAATATGTAAAATTTTGCATGCACATTTTTCGGTAATGAGCACTTATTTTTTCTCTACTAATTATTATTCAATGCAATTCGACAAGGAAGTCCAATGTGCTGTTTAATTTACACATGACTTTTTATCTACACTCAGTTTGCATTGACAAGAACGCTTTTGAATAATAATGAAGAAAAATATTGAATAAACTGTGGGCCAATGACATGGATTGACATATCTATTTCTATAACTTTATATAAAAATAACCTTTATTACCATGATGTAAAAATGATTGATGAATGAAGAGCAGATTGGGTTTAGGATTCAATTACAGTTTCATGATATACCCGACAATAACATTTACTATTTAACCATACGATAAAATTCCAAACAATTTAAAAATATATAGATAAACACAGATTTCTACGGGATCAAAATATGGCCTTTGTATATGTATGTAAAGTAAAATGATACTTGAAATTTGATACTCAACTCGTGAAAATGGGCGATTTAAAACAGGGAAAATTGAAATCTATAGACATGGCAAGTCATGTTTGAAAGAGGGTCTGGATAAAGTTTACAGAACAGAGAATAATGGGCAAAAAGTGCAGAATGAAGGGCCAAAAAATAAAGAATAGAGAAAAAAGGACAAAAAGAATTAACAGAATAGAGAATAATGGGGTGATAAAATATAAAGAATAGAGGATAATGGGCCAACAATTTAAAGATTAGAGAATAATGGTCTAAACAGTAAAGAATAAAGAAATGAAGAACCCCAATCCAGACCCTCTTAAATTGGATTGACAATATGGAGGTTTGTCCCACCATGTATTTTTTTTTAATTTTTCGCTTAAATAATGCTAAGATATTACTTCACATCTAAACACAAAAATTACTATTAAAAAAACTTATATGCAAGAATAATTTATTCCTATTACACATTTGTACGCCGAGAGGTTGATGACATATTAACAAAACAAATAACACAAACGCATAAAATGATGCTTAATACATTTATATGTTCCTGTTCCTAATTAAATTTTATTTGCCTTAGGCAAGTGAAGAAACCCTAGCAATTCAAGTTTACAGTAGTTAAAAAACCTACAAAATTTTGTGAAAATCTTTTTGTATAATCAATTTACAAAGTTACTTTACATGTCTCTGGTATTCGCTAAGTAGTGATTTGTAACTTTAATAAAACGGCAATAAAGTTCACGTACAAACTTGTATATTGATTTCTAATTATCAAATAAAAGTATAAACGTTTATATATAATAAAAAAAGGAGATAGAAAGAGGAGATACCACGCTGCAATAAAAAAAACTCAAGCGCAAAAAAAAAACAGACAAGAATATAAATGAATAGAAAACGCCAAAAAGACAAACAATAATAAGAAAACGCTACAAAGAAAACTTAAGATGGAACAGCACAAACCCTATCAAAAATCCGGGAGGGGCGGGGAGAACTCAGATGTTCTGAAATGATTTAAATCTTACTGAAACGAACGATTTTTTTGTGTATTAAACAATAGACGGATGTACAACGTGGGTCCATCAATCAAAAGTTTGTAGTTTTCATTGTCAGATTTTGTCACATCTACGTAGATATGTTACAATACGATTGTCATTTTATGTAATTGGTATAAGACTTTTCATTGGACCGATGTTATTTCCCTGTACAGGACACATTTAATAAATACTAGCAGTCTGTGAATATTTCCATATGTTGAAATTGATAATAATATATACTTCTGCATTTAAATATTTAAAGGTTCAAATGTGTGCATTATTTTAGAAAACGGGATTAACCAACGAAAGGTATAGTTTTATATTATTTTAATTCATAATTTATTTGACTAATGAAAATTAAATTGTGGTTTTGGGATTTTATTTTGTCTAAAGACATATAGCTGTTTTTCAGACGAAAATTATTGACCATATAGCTATTTTTCAAACGGAATTATTGACCATTTCTCCTTTCAAAGTAAATAAAAATACAAATGAACTACAAATAGAATTGAAAATAGAATAAAATAAAAAAGAAATAAAAATGAGAATTTAACACAAGTAATGTAAAGCACCAAACACCATCTAATATATAACCTGATTCAATTTCAGATGCGATTCTATATACAGGAAATCTGTGTTTGTATATGTTTATGGCTGCCATATGCTTTTTCTAAAGTAGAACAAATTGACTATCCGGTTAAATTAGCACGTTGTTATAATGGTTTCTACAATAAAACTTCGGTATCCAGGAGTGTAGGATACAGTATCCACTTTTCTTGTTATCATGAATACAGACTTAAAACATCAACGGAGAGAAAATACAAAGGAAAATTGCTTGGTCTTAAGGATAACGCTTATATTAAGGGAAATATGAAAAGTGTAGAATCTAACATTAGAGCAAAGCGACAAGCTGGAGGTCAGGGAACACCGAAACCCAGAAGACAGAGAAAAGAAATAAGAATGATGACAGATGAAGAACGAGAAAAATACTTAGCTGCAATTACAACATTGAAAACCACAGAAGTAAGTAGTCATGATTTATAAAGTTGAAGGATTTTACTTTGTTTTAAGAACTCACGTCTTCAGGATATGAGAACTACTATTATCACATGACTCAACTGCCTTACAATGTCACGCTTAATTTTATTTGCATAAAACTATGATTTATCTAGTCACCAATGAACGCATTTCCTTGCGAACTAATGGACTGTTCATAACAAAGAAAATGCTGAAAAACGAAAGAATTATACGCGATTAAAAGTCAATGGCGTGCTTAAGAAAAAGAAAATTAGAACTCAGCTAACAGCATCAACATCATTTTCTTCGATACTGAGCTAGGATGCGAACCCAAATGTCAAAAAGGAAGCTGGAACCTTTATCTAAATAAAAAAAAATATCTGAAACAAACATCTCATAATCCTCATAGCGTATGAAAATAAGGAAATATGATATGATTACCAAAATGCACACATAGGAATCATACCATGCATGTACTGATTTTGTGTCATGGATAGTATCCCATATCTTTTGTTTTTCTATTTCAAAGTTTTCATCCTTTAATGCTTCAAGGAATTCCGTAGGAAAATATAAGGGTTAAGAATAACCATAATAAAAAAATAAAGAAGAATCTGGACAAACACAGTTCGGTTTGGGCGACTAAATAACTCCAGTAAATGTAAAAAGTAAAATCACAAAATACTGAACTCCGAGGAAAATTCAAAAAGGAAAGTCCCCAATCTAATGGCAAAATCAAAAGCTCAAACACATCAAACGACTGGATAACAACTGTCATATTCCTGACTTGGTACGGGCATTTTCTTATGTAGAAAATGGTGGATTGAACCTAGTTTTATAGCTAGCTGAACCTCTCACTTGTATGACAGTCGCATCAAATTCCATTATATTGACAACGATGCGTGAACACACCTCTTTTTATACAGTGTATATCGAATTATTCTTGTTTCCCTCATTCTATCTTTAAAAATCGTTTGTTAAAACGTTTAGGTTTATCATTCGCATACAATATATATATATATAAATAATATGAATATAATTAAATTTAAGATAAAACATTATATTATCTTTCTAGGAACAAGTCGGAAATGAATCAATCAGTCGTTTCGGTTTGTTAGCAGCTTTTCATTCTGGTGAACAGTTAGGTGCTCATGGTGGATGTGGATTTGGCCCGTGGCACAGAGCGTATCTAATAATGTACGTATAATAATCTTTACTGAATACTATGATACACTCAGCTTGGTACAATTTAATATGAAAGTATGGCGATTGATTTGAAATATAATTGTTTTGAAGTGTACGATGAGTACGGCGTGAAAAAAAATTTGTTCAATTGAAATGCATAGTTGAGCTCATATGAATAGATACTTCAGATCACAGAATTTAAACGTAAAAGTATTTTGATGTACAAGTATTTGTCCAAAACTAAAAAAGCCGATGACTACAGACAACTGAACAATCAATGTGATAAAGCTCATATTTATAACATATAACTATACTAACTCCTCAAGTGATAACTACCCTGATTGAAAAGACAGTTTATATGTTGATTTGAAGTAAAAAATAAAATATTTCTTACTGATGTTTATTAGGTATGAACAGGCTTTGATGCAAGTTGATGATACAGTTACACTTCCTTATTGGGATTCAACTCTCGACTTTTATATGGAAGACGCTACACAATCTATCTTATGGACTGACAAATTTATGGGAAATGGAGACGGATTAGTTACTACAGGTCCATTCAAAAACTGGGATACTGCTGTTGGGCCTTTAACAAGAAATATCGGAGTTTCTGGAAAACTTTACAGCGAAGATGACTTTTTAAATGTGACGTCAAGGACAAGATATGGAGAAATTTGTGGTGATGAAGCATTACCAGAACATGACATGGAGTTTTTACACGGACCTCCTCATGTTTGGATTGATGGTCAGATGGGAATAATTGAGACAGCAGCCCATGATCCTATCTTTTTTATGCACCATTCCTTTGTGGATCTTATATGGGAAAAATTTAGAGACAACCAAAGACGGAATGGAGTAGACCCTCAAGTAGATTATCCTGCTGAATTCTTTGGAGATATATTTCACGCACCAGAGGAGGCCATGGGTATCGGTAGTATGACAATGAAAGATGGTCTGGACGACAAATTTACAAGAGACATATATGAGTATGCTCCTCGACCAACTTGTAGCAGAAATAATCAGAACTGTGGCTCTAAATATTTAAAGTGTGTTGATGTATCTGGTGCATTTAGGTGTGTGTCAAAAACACTAGATGAATATGAGGCTGACATGGCAACAGGTGGAGGAAATACTGGAGGAGGAAACACTGGTGGAGGAAATACTGGAGGAGGAAACACTGGTGGAGGAAATACTGGAGGAGGAAACACTGGTGGAGGAAATACTGGAGGAGGAAACACCGGAGGAGGAAACACCGGAGGCGGAAGCTGTCCAACTCCAAAGCCACCAGTTCCACCGAAAGTAAAACCTACATTGCATAAACCTGTTCAAAACAACTTTTGTGTAAATGGTAAAAGTGACACAAGAGAATGGGTATATTTACCAATTAGAGTAACGTATCAACGGCCACCAGATTTCACGAATTACGGATCTTACCCTATTCGAAATGGAAAGCAGGCATCAAAATCAGATATTTATGCTCCATCTGGATATTCATCTATGAACAAATACATAAGACCAGGTCGACCAGAAAACTATGGGAATTGTAAAAGTTCTACTAGCGGTGCAGGTGAAATGTACATACAATCTGATGGACTAAATTATGATGGTACATATAGAGAATATGCAGTAATTGATCATCGTTTAGCTATATCCATGTCAGTTGCATATGTTGCAGTGAAGAAGCCAGAAATCAACGACCCATCTGATGTAGTAATTTCGGCGTTTGATTCATGTGGAAGAGTTTGTCATGCTACGTGTTTAATTCCTGGCACTGATTACTACAGGCCGTGTTCTGGTGCATTAAGAGTTTCCGATATTCCACGTTTTCCAAAAATGTATGGTGGAAATTTTGGAAATTCTGTTTTGAACGTTTGGAATTACACATCATCGGCATGTCCACAATTTAACATTGATCAAATATATGTCTCCTTTTTCTGTGATTACAGTAACAGGTGGCCGTGGGAACATGCCCGTAAACAGAACCTCCCTCCACCTCCTCCAAAAAGAAGACCCTCAGTAAACAATCAACCAAATGGACCACGAATAGCAAATAAACAAACTGAACCAAGCTTGACAATGCCTCCAACATCTCAAAAACAAAGTAAGTACTTCGCTATTTATATTGACAAGTAATATCATCGAACACCTCTGTGTAGTCCTTCTGTAGTGAAAAAGAAGAACAAAAAATGCAATCGCAAGTTCTTGTACAATGGAAACTGCGAAAACGTGAAATAAAACCTTACTATACCTGCATAGATTTAGACGATACATTCTTTGTAAACAGTACATTTTTTTTCTAAATTAACAAATAAGATTTATCCACCTCAACTCATGCTTACTAAACCAAATTTAAAAGTGACAGAAGTTCGTTTAAAGACCATGATAAAGGAATTCCTGCATACCATTAATATGCAGGATAAATTTTGTTTCCATAAGTTTTCTTTTCTTAATGATGGTTTTCGTTGGCTCCGTCTTATGTAACGTACATTTCTAAGTTGGTTCGATATGCAACTGTTTGCAATATTTGCAATTACATAATATTTTCAGTACTGAAAACAGCAGAGATAAAGATATCACTAATTGGTCAAAACTTTTACAATATCTTATCACTTTAAGCAGTAATGTCGCTCGGAAAACTTTAAAACTATTTTGTCTCGGTATTGATGTGGTTCGTTCGATTCAAAACTTTCAGTTTATAAGCCCTGCTTCAGTCAACCTTATATCATTGTATCTATAAAAATAAGAAGATGTGATATGATTGCCAGTGAGACAACTCTCCACAAGATACGAAATGACACAGAAATTAGCAGCTATAGGTCACCGTACGGCCTTCAACAATGAGTAAAACCCATACCGCATAGTCAGCTATAAAAGGCCCTGAAATGACAAATGTAAAACAATTCAAACAAGAAAACTTTATGTACAAAATAATGAACGGAAAGCAAATATGATATACGGCAACAAACGACAACCACTGAATTACAGGCTCCTGACTTGGGGCAAGCACATACAGAATGTGGCGGGGTTAAACTTATACGAAGGCGCGCCAACCCTCCCCCTAACATAGGACAGTGGTGTAACAGTACAACATTAGAACAAACTATAAAAATCAGTTGAAAAGGGATTAACTCATCCGATCGATACAATGCAGAAATATCTATTCTTTTTAACTTCTTTGAGTTCTGATGTTCTCTACATTTTATATAATCGCCCCTTCTCAAAGTTTATCAAGCGGCAGAAAGTTATTTCTAAAACACATGGCGTGCATTTTAATATATTTATATAACTTTCTAAATTTACACATACTCTTAAATTGTTTTTAATCGGTATTTTGTTTTTGTTTCAGAATGTGCAATAAGAGGATGTATGATCGAACGTGATGATTGTAGAGCACCATGTGAAAATTTGGTCAATTATCCATGTGTTAACAAATGCAACACATTTGCACGATGTTTTTACAAGAAATATTATATACAGACTTGTAGTTATGGACATTATGATATTACAAATGGAAAATGTCAACGTGGAAAAGGCCACTGTACAGACGAAGAATATAATAGGGGTAATAGAGGCAGATTTTCAGGGTAGTTTGGAGAATTAACACACATGAATGATATATATGATCATATAAAGCAAAATCATTACTAATTTGGTATAAAATCCAAGAGAGTCTTTGAGAATACATTTTTTGCGTTGTTTTTATCATCTCAGGTCCACTACAAGAGCAAGAATGCAAACTTAGCCATTAGAATAACGTTGTTCCAGTTATTTGATCAATATTTAAAAAATGTCTAGAATTTATCACAAATGTGAACAACATTTTCAGTTACATTTTGCATTTTTCATATATGAGTTTTGCAAGGCTAATTTGGCGATCGACCTCTTATCTCACAAAGTGGTGTAAATTTTGTTTTAATAGAAATGGATTGAACCATGATTTGAAATTTTGATCAAATTGTCAGTAGTTTGCACAAATCAAAAAAGTTTTTATGATCAAATATATTCTATCTTTTAGCAAATCCTTATGTGACAAAGCTAACAAATTGGAATGCTGATTGTTTGCATGTGTATTTATTAACTTGTTTTTATTTTATTTGTGATAATGCAAAAAGGGTTATCCAGCTACTTAAAATGTTGATTCAATGTAACAAAATATCAAGAGAAATCCTTAAGTCGAATGTCGTAATGAGGATAACCCTTTTTGAAAATGTTTGTTTTAAACGCATGGTTATGATGTTTGTATAGTGTTCGAAACAATGTAGTTATGCATTTTACTCGGATACAAAAGATAAAAAAAGTATACTGTTAGCGTTTTAAGCATTTATAAATATCTTGCACCTCAAATCTTCTGTTAGTTTCATCATGATTTTTTTATTTTATATGTGAATGATTATGAAAAGTACAAAAATAGTCCTAATATGAATGTAGTACACCAAAGTTATTTCATAAACCCATGTGCTCAACAACAAAAAAGAGATCGGTTTTTGATTTTTTTGCTACGCATGTATTGCAAAAGAGAGGGACGAAAGATACCAGAGGGACAGTCATACTCATAGATCGAAAACAAACTGACAACGCCATGGCCAAAAATAAAAAGACAAACAGACAAATAATAGCACAGATGACACAACACAGAAAACTAAAGAATAAGCAACACGAACCCCACCAAAACTGGGGGTGATCTCAGGTGCTCCGGAAGGGCAATTAACAAGGCAAAGCAATTGTCAAGCGAGGAACATGCTACGTAATAATATCGAGGTGTTGTCTGGCATCCAGAGAATATTTTCTCTACCCAAACTTTTCAGTGGTATGTCAGTTCTCAATGTATTAGACGTTATATGTAAATGGTAGTTCTGTAAACCACAAAAACTATACAAATAAAATGTCTCTTTGGACAATGTGCAATAATGTAAATACTTATTTATTTTAATGTGTTTTATATAATAAATGTTTTTACAAGTTTTATATTGTTAATTCTCAATAAAATGTATGACCTTGAATTTGAAATGCTTTTTAAGATATATAGATGAATGGGATAGAATAGGTTCTTTGAATAGAGAAACAGTAAATATAGACTTAAGACACGTACTTTGACCTATAATGGTTTACCTTTATAAATTTTGACTTGGATGGAGGGTTGACTCATTGGCACTCATACCACATCTTCTTATATCTATTAACATATTAATTTACGATGATATCCAACAAAGAAATCTTAATACATAGCCAACTTTACTGAACACAAAGTATTTGCGACATATAGATGTATTTTCGAAATACTATCGATTTTCTACCCTAGGAATAGATTTCCTTATATGTATTTGGCAAAACCTATCGGAATTTTAGGTCCTCAAAGCTCTTCAACTTCGTACTTTATTTGGCCTTTTTAAATTTTTTAATTCGGTCATCACTGATGAGTCTTTTGTAGACAAAAAGCGCAGACGCGTACTAAGTTTTGATCCTGGTATTTATGATGAGTTTATTTCTGGGTTTAAAAGAGCCTTTGTAATGGATTCTCAATGACGGGTTCCTACAATTTCTTTTTATCACGTTAACCACATTTCTCTTCATGACAATATATTCTTAAATTTCAAACAATTATACGCGATGATTCAAGCAGAAAAAAACTCTTCATGAACTTTAAATCTGATAGGTTTGATTTCATTTTCAACTTATTCTCCAAAGAATTTTTAGTCCCTTAAACATACGGAAAATGAAAAGATTACTTCGGAAATTAGACCATATATCTATATGTGGGTTAAACATGTGCATTTAACTACATGTACCTTATAATAGTGTATTATGACTTTATAAGATGAATTGCAAAATAAAACTTTAAAAAATGTAATTAATCATATCGTACAATAATCCTGACTTTAGGCGTTATTTTTATGTTTCAACTCTGTTTCTTTAAAAATGATATACATCACATTTAATATCAACTACAGTCGGAGGTCAAAAGTGTTTCATCACTTGAATTTTCCGTTACGTATTCATATAATTACATAACATGTATGTTTCACGAGAATCCGTTAGTTTGATTGGTTAACAACAATCGCGCGTCATTCAAAAACTAACCTTCATATCAAAATGAAATGTTACATTCGTGATGACACGTGCTTTCACAAAAAAAGTGCACAGGTAAATAAAAGAAAACTTGATAAAACTTTTTTTCATGGTCTTATTAGCACAAAAATGTAATTATAAGAAATGAATGCTTCTTTTTGTAATTTTATTGGGGTGTAAAAGTGTTGATCGTGCACACATTTTTAGGCGCTTCATACAAAATGTGCTTCGGTCAACACCTTTACACCCCAATGAAATTACAAAAAGAAGCATTCATTTCTTAAAATGAAGTGAAAAAAAAATTCTTCTTAAGTTATCCCTTGTCCGATTTGCAATGTGTGCAATACTTTAGAAATATTTGTTTTATTTATAGCTTTAAGAAAATAACTGTAATGACAAATCTGAATTTCTGCACGATAAATAATATATGGTAATGTTGATAATCATTACACATAAGGAAGTACGGGAGTCTTCCGCCATCTTGGATTGTGAAATAGCAATTGGTTTAGATTTTCAATTAAGTCAGCTAAATTTTATATTTACATTTAATGTTTATACTCCCATACCACCTGAATTTCAATATTTGTATTTGAATAATCATTTCTCAGTAATGACACGGCATTAAAATGTTTAAAAAATCACAACATGTTGATGAGTTTAACAATAAAAATTTCACCAAAATAGGCCTGAAGTAAGTTTTTGACACTTTTATTAAAAGATGTGTTTTTATGTGAAATATACAGCGGAGTTCTCGACTGGTGACACACTTTTAACCTTTGACTGTACGAAATTGTTCCCAGCTGATTTAACTCAATTTGTACAACTTAAACTAAACTTGTTGTTTTGCAGACATATCTTAATTATTTTAAAGGCAATTTTTTCTCTTTGCTTAATAATTTGTTACGTGTAAAACGAATCATTCCAACATTTCAATAAATGTTCAAATATTGTGCACTTAATAATAGTCTTGTATTGTCCTCATGTTTTTTTACATTTTTGTAGCGCGGTCGCCTCGGTACTCTTCTATTTTTTGTTTTTGTTTTTACACTATAAATTACAAGTAATTAGTTCTGGTTGTTTTTACCTATATCTCTTGACACTTTGTTCTAAATGTAGAATAGGTTGTTAATCATTTTAAACTAACAAAGGCTGTAGTCTGCTACAAAATGATTTACAGTTAAAAAAAGGTTATTACAATCTGTCTTCAATATGATTCTTGAAACATAAGCTAGACATCAAGACAGTAAATGATTAATACGTATGCTTTTTTTATTGTACTGTCTCTATTAAAATTTCAAATATACTTATAATAGTGATATAAATGTCAAATATGAAAATAGAATGTAAAATGCATATGGCGTGGTCAATACCACATAGCGGGAGCCGTTGAATGATAACAAGGAAATATCGTCATAAATCACTATTGACGTCACTCAATGCAAGAAGGTTTTCAACAAGGATGCCTGATGTCCTCTGGCTTATTGTACAAAGTTCAATAAACTATTGTCTTTTTCACTGTACTAACGTCACAACAAGCTACGACATTAAATGAACCTTTACCACACGTTTTTATTCGTTGTTCACCTTAAAAAGAAATATATTTAACAAGGCGAGAATCACGATATAGAAAGTGTAACAACAATTTAATTATCCGATGATAAAATCCGAAAGTGACTATATATAATTCATCATGAGGCATTTATATTGTTATTGACAAAATCCGCTTAGAACTCATGAACTCGAAGTTGTAATTTTTATTCACAGAAGATATTTTGTCAATAAGTTAAAAAAAGATTAGATAAAATTACTTGACAGGCTACAATAGCTATAATCTTGAGATGTTGAAATTTTTGATTTTCACTGTCATAATAAATTGTTTTTTATGATATTTTTTCAATGAATAGTGCCGTAAGAATCGTTTTAAAATTTATGGTTCCAACGATTATCATGATTACCACACATCAAGGTGAACAAATTACACTTTATTCGTCAATAGAACAAAATATCAGGAATATTTGGAATTTTAGTATCCCTTCTACTCATTTTTCAATATTTTACCGATTTAAGATACTACTCGTTTGAAATTTAAAATAATATTCAACATTCCATTTGAGAACAAAATGATTTCTAGCTGACCATTTCTTTTCCATATGTTTAAAACATTTATCATATTCTGTATGCATTTGAAGCGGTTCATCGACGTTGGAAAATATTTGTTCTGTAATTCTGTATGAATTTACGGTTCTGACTAGTTCAAAATTTTTTAGAAACCACTTGTTGTTTAAATTTTTCTCTTTTAATTTGCCTCCATATCCATTCGGAACATTGCACTCGGTATTTTCCTTTCAATTAATATAGAAACGTATTTTCGTTTTGACTACGTTTGTAGTGGATATTTAATGTGATTTATTTATCATTTAAAAGAAACAGAGTGAAAAAAAAAATGTCCTTGTCAGGATCGTACGACATGATTTATGAAAACATTATGCGTTTTATTTTGCAATTCGTCTAATACATTAAAAATTTAAATGTATTAAGTACATGTAGTTAAAAGTACCTGCTTAACTCAAATTGAAATATATGATCTAATTTATCAAGCAATTTTTTCGTTTTCCGTCTGTATAGAGATTAGAAAAGCCTTTGGATAAGTTGAAAATAAAATAAAATATATATTTAATATATCTTTGATGAGTTTTCCCGCGTTGACTACAATATGTATCCATCTTGATAGTTAAATATGTTATTTTTATATACTCGACAATATTCGCATTTTAAAGTTTGAAAATCTCGATATGGATAAATATCAACGTAGTTGGTGGTGGTGTTTGTGGTGGAGGTGGTGGTTGGGGAGGCATTATGGTATATTCATTATATAACCCACACATTGATATAGTTTGTCTCATTTGATTAACCGCAATGCGGAACTTACAATTCGATATTTAATCACTAGAGAAACATGTTATCCTACCACTCTTCCCTGTTGAGTGAAATATTTTTCCACCTACGATAGTTGAGTTCAAATTTTAAAATTCCCGATAAACCTCGCATTTTAAACTATCTCAAGAGGATAAAATATCGGGTTGATATTTTAGAATCTATATATCTATATAATTCTTAATGGACCCCCTTTATCTATATATTTCTTATATATATATATATATATATTTTTTTTTGTAAAACATTCTTTGATATTTTGACTTATATTCACTAATTTAATGCGTCCATGCAATATTACAATAACAGTAGTTTATATGTAATATCCGTCTATTTTAAATAATAGAGGGGCATCCTATATAAAGTAAGGTTATTCCTATATGGTATGGATAAGAGTAAGAACGCATGAAATAAGTAAAAATAAGCTAAAAAAATTACTAAGAAAATAAACAACAAAAAACAAACAAAAATTATAGAAAAAGGGGTTCATTCCCTGAGCGCCTATACTGTTGGCCAGAATAATTTCAAGTATAAAGCAGCTTTTCTCTATTGGGAAATAACACTTTACTTTAAAACGCCACGTGGTTTTTGACTGTCGTATAAAATGACGAAATTTTTATGAACAAATTTTTTTATGATTAAATTTCAAAGAAACAAGTGGATTACAGATTATTTTCTTTTATAGGTGGTCCAAGACATCAACATAGCCACAATCATGCCAGAAACATACATAGGCCTGTTCAAAGATGGGGAAGAAGACCAGGATAAGGATAAAATATAGATTGTTAAATGATTCGTTTAAAAAGTCCCAAAGATATTCCGTCCATGCACAACGTAACTTTTTTTTTCATTTCATAAATGAAAATTATAACCTGGTAAACTTGAATTGATAAATATGTTTATATATAAAATATTTATTCATAAAAAATCTTCATGTTTTAAGAATTAGTGACATCAGAATGGATATGAACTAGGGCAAAATGTGAACTACGGTGTGACGTAATGGTTAAACATATATTTGTCAAACTTTTTTTTTACTAAGTATGGAGAAAAATACTTTGACTTTATGATGATAGATGATTTCATCGCTCGTACATCAATGAAAATGAAAATCAAATGTCGTCATTTATTATATTTATGTTGCATGGGACTTTATGAATCAATGACAATGTATTGGTGGACTATTTAGATGTAATTCAAAAGAATTGTAAAGATTCAAAATGACGAATTGTATTTTTGCAACATCATAATCCCGTTCATATATATTTGGCGGATGATTTATCAAATACAATGTAAGAGTGTCCAAACTAATTCAACTGCAGTTAACGAAACTCATTAACAGTACAATAGCAACCGTGTTAACATATTATTATCATAAAGGGATTATAACACTAGATCAAAAACCAGATTTCGCAAAATCGGACAGCTTAATATGAAACAAGAAAATAAATACGAAAGCAAATACTTTATGAGGTAGAAAGGAAACATTATAAAAAAAACATTTTAAGACAGACAGTTAGATACCATAAACATACTAATGTATACACAGGCCAGAGTCTGAGCTTGTTTTGCTATATGATATAAAAACTAAATTGACGAAAAAAGGTCATTTATTCAAAATCATAAAATGCTAAAAATATATTTTGCAAATAAAACATTTGACATAAAAGTTCATAATTAATATGAAATTATAATACATAAAAGTTCATAATTAATATGAAATTATAATACATAAAAGTTCATAATTAATATGAAATTATAATACATAATTAATACGAAATTACATCAACTAAAATAATATCAGTTGAATAAATTACAAAGAATAGCAAAGGTGGGGAGAAAAATCTGCCCCACTAATAAACATATATACATATCTACTGCTAATATAAATTTAAGGGAGGTATGCGGGTGGGAATTTTTCACAAATTGTTTGATAAGAATTACAAGTTAACAAGTCAAGAGCTGATGATAAAAGGAAGTGCCTACAACGCACATACACGTGAACTCGTGCTGACCCCGCAAGATCATTGACCAATAAGAAAGATGTAATCCAATCATGCACTGGTCATTAGTGAAATTTCTCTACACGTGAAAACATGTTATCTAATTTCAACAATTTATCGTTTGATTAAGTATGACAAATCTGGCACATTGACCAGTATAGAGACATCATAAATTTACAGTATAAATAGCTCACTCTTTATTTAAGTCTCAGTAATAAACAATTAATACAGAATTATCTTCCCTGTTGTCTTAAATGATTTTATTCAGCTTAATTTTCAATTAGCAAATAAAATTGGTTATGGCATAGTATTTTTAAAAGATAGGCGAAGGATACCAAAGGGACACTCAAATTCATAAGTCGAAAATAAACTGACAACGCCATGGCTAAAAAAGAAAACAGACAAACAACAGTACACAAAACAACATTGAAAACCAAAGACTGAGCAACACGAACCCCACCAAATACTGGGGTTGATCTCAGGTGCTCTTGAAGGGTAAGCAGATCCTACTCCACATGTGGCACCCGTCGTGTTGCTCATTTAAGTACAAACCCGATGATATGTCTTATTCGGTAGGTCACATTCGGGGGAAAGGGGACGAAATTGTAGTTAAAAGAAACTCGTTGTCATTAGCCAGTAAGTACTTTTTTTTTTGCCTTATTTTAAGCAATTATGTCTTTTTTTCATTATCAAGTTGTATTTTATTCTATCAGTTGTTGTCCTTTTTTCTTATTCATGTATGTAATAAAAATCGATTAAAAGCTCATTCAGATTATTGAAACTTATCTTAACTAATATCTTATATAAGCGAAAATAATTTGTTACATCATTTTTCAATTCAAAAATATTGATGCCAATATTTAGATAAGAAACATTTGGTTTATGTAATTACTAGTATAAAGCATTTTTTAATAGAATTCTAGATATGTATCTTATGTAGATAACTTATTTAGCTTGATTATAAAAATGTATATGCTGGGTGATTTCTCAAAACAAACAAATGAATATACAGTATATGTTGGAAAATGGAAAAGGATTAATTTTATCTTTTAAGGCCGTAGACCAATTTAACTATAGTTATGTCATTTGTTAAGTTTTTGAATCGAAAGAAGGTAGAATAAAGATAAATGCATCACAGCAAATTGTCATGAAAATGTTTTCTTTAACTTTAATTTTTAAATTTATAATCGACCTTTTCCGAGTGAATTTACATGCGATCAATCAATCGATTTACTGCTATTTCGCGAGTATAATAGTTTTATTCGTGACTGTTCATCTTATTCTGAATGCTATACATGTTTTGAACACAAACAACGCAGAATTTCCTTTTAGTTCACTTACAATCTAGTGTTTTATATTGTCCGTGTTTTTTCGAGAGCAACATTTAAAACGTCCGGGTTTTTCAACAGATAGTCCGGTTTTTTTTTTAAGAATGTGAATAAGAAAGAAGACATTTTTTGGCTTAAAAACTGACTTTTTCTAGTTTGTAACTGTAATTTAGCGAAGAACAATATTATATATTCTTAATAAGCCACAAAAACAGATTACTATATTCTATATAAATTACAGTGACTGACGAAAAAACAAAGGAGCAAGAAAACTAAGGAAAAGGAGTAAACAATCAGAGCCCCTCCCCCCCCCCCCCCCAATAAAAAAATACAATAACATTTGAGTTGAATGGAATATTAATAAAAAATGAAAACAACACTTTATAATTTTATGCTATATGACCAAAAGGACTTGAACATCACACACAAACAAACGGACGTCCCACTTTGACAAGGGTCGGTCGGAAGAAGACTTAAGTGACCATATTTCTATTCCCCTGTCCTCCTTGGAGGTAAATAGATTTAGAAAGGTTTGTTATAAATCGTGTCAATACCGAAGTACTGACTACTTAGCTGAGGATAAACTCGGGGACTTGTCCGATGTATTTAATAAACAACAAAATAAATAATCTGTAAGCTTCAATACGATCCTTTTGAAATAATAATAATAAAAAAGAATAAATGTGTATATAATATGCGCTCACCTCACAAATATACATTGTCAAGTTTTATTCTTTTAATTTCTGATGGAAATGAAGCTATGCTGGTATTTATTACTGTGTGACCAAGCATAGTACACACTTGATTAGACTCCTCTTCACAGTAGGAGCAATTGAACATTGTTCTTGATTTCTATTTCTAGAACGATAAAACATTATTTCTTAGGAAGCAAGAATCTTGCAATCCAATTGGTTAATAACCCGGGTGTAAATAACACCCCACCCAAGTTCACCAGGGGATAACAAAAATATGTCAAAATTTCCACAAAACAAAGTTTTTGCCAAAATAATGTAAATTAAAATTTTGGAAATAATAAGTTTAATAAAAAAACATAATATTAAAAAAAATTATTAAAAAAAAAATTTAGAAATTTTTGCCAAGAAAAAAAATTATACAATTACTGTCTTTTGATGAGGTAAATATGTGGTTTTATTGACTTTTGAAAAACTGATATTCACTGAGGCCAACGGCCGAAGTGAATATCAGTTTTTCAAAAGTCAATTATTAAAATAAAAAATAAATAGATAATATTTGACAATGCACAGCAACATCGGTGTTGAAAAATGTGTAGTGGAAGTTCGTCATCAGATTTTTTTTCAATTTTATTCCCGTGAATAAAAATAGTAAACGAACGCTAAATAATAAATAAATTCGTTATCTTTGTGCAATCAGAGGTGTACGGAATTTTACACCGATGTTGAAAATGCTGCGCCTCAGGGCGTATATATTTTCAACACCAGTGTAAATTCTGTATACTCCTGATTACACCAAGATAGCTAATATTACCACCAAGAAAAATAGTAAATGAAACATTAAGGAGATATTTTCTGTAAAAAAAACCACATTTACCCGCTTTACACATTATGTGTACGTACGTCTCAGTCCAACATGTCTGATATCACATAAAGATTGTTTACATCACGAAATATTTACTGGATGAAATCCATATCGGTACACTAACATGAAGATTTCTGAATGCCAATGAACGATGACTTTTTATGAAATGTACGTGTTAATACAGCATTATCAAACTGGTTTTGCATTGTTTCGTGCTTTGAAAAGTACTTTATTTGAACCTTTTCATTGTTTTTTAAACGTAAATGCACTGACATATTACATTTTAAGCCATAGGATTTTTTTGTTCTCTCGATAAAACAAGGACACACTCGAAAAAACACGGACTGCTCTCGAAAAAACACGGACATATACAAAGGAATTTACTCTCCAAAATGTCCTTTTCAATGCAAAATCAAGAATTTTTGTAAAGTGTCTGTATATCTAAGTATATATAGATTCCATGTGCACATTTCCGTTGACAGTTGCATTGGTATGTGTATAATCAAAGTACTGAAGTACTGAACATCGGATGACCACAAGTTCTTGAGGATGGTCAAAAGCACTTGTCTCAGAAAAAAAAAACATATCTCTTTACCTGAAACTGAGGTTAATGTACAGAGATATATTTTTTTCTAGACAAGTGCGTGCGAGTATGATGAATAAATGACAAGAAATTCAACTTCACCGTAATAACTATTATATTGTAGTGATACAAATCAGTATACACTGATTTGTTGTTATATATTATATTAAAATAACAGTTACATATATATATGATTTGCATCCGTTTGTATATCATTCTATTCTACTGTTCTAATAATAGTGCAATGCAAGTGCATGGTGGACACTTTTCTGTAAAAATTCGATTTTTCTAAGATTGGATACGAGTAGGCATTCATATTTTCCCGCAAAAACAATTACAGAGTTACCGGTCCTGTCGCAAAACGTTCTTTGAGATATTCTTCCGCATGCTTTAACACAATTTTTCGGTACGTGTGCATTGATATTATCAATGATTTTTTACTTATATATAAATATCTAACTACAAAACATTTTCACATTATTAATTTATGTTGTAAACAAAAATATTTTTATCAGTATTCATTGAAGAGATGTATTTATATCAAATGACAAGGAATGTTATTTTGCACTCGTTTATGTGCGCATATTTATCATGTTTATAGATCGGTTACAAACCCAAAACTAATTTACATAATGGAAATCTAGGCGATAGCAATACATCGGAAGGTCATCGCGATGTAAAAATGGTTTTAATCTATATTTTGGAATAAAGCAATGTAAGGCTAAATTAAACGTTTTTAAAACAAAATAATGTAGGGTTGATAATATCTTTTTACCAAAAATACTAATTTAACTTCTGTGATCTTGTATATAAGGTTCTAGCATATTTTTTCACGTTTTACCAGAAAGGAAGTCTGTTTGTTTACAATTTTGATCAAATCACTCGAAAAACCACGATCCCAGCCGGACACTATTCCTACCGTGACGTTGCAAGTTAGCTAAACATGCAAATCATGGTAATATTTCTATACATTTCTTTTTGTAACATGGGGCCAGTCAAGAAAGATATTATAAATTTTCCATTTATAACACTGAGTGCATAAAACTATAAGTAAATCATGCTCAACCTCATCAGAAAATAAATTGCAAATAGTATAACCTCTTTGCTGGTCAATTAAGTCTATATATGCAGTTAATTAAAGGCTACAAACGTACAGTATCCCATTGTAAAAAAAAAGCAAGAGCCAAAAAGCATCCACGATCACATTATTCTTCTTTTGTCCACAATATTCAAAATATATTGATTAACATAGCTTTTGTAAGGAAACTGAAAAATATCCTGAAAAATTAGGAAAAGCTACTCCAATGCTGGTAACTTTTCCACTAATTCGAATGATTGCATTCAATGAAGTTAGATTTAGCTAGCTCTATACATACGCAACATTAAGAGTTTCGTGCATAGAATTTTACTCGAAAACAATTTTATCAAATATGCAAACATTTTGCCTAAGGCAATCCTCGTATGTAATAAACCAACAGAATTTGAATAGCAATCGTTTAAAACATATCGCACCTTTTTGACATTAGATAACAAGACATTTATCTTATGTCACAATCATTTAATTACGATATTTTAGTGTGCATGTACAATGCACATTTGTTTGTGACTTCACAAATAAATAAAAAAAAAGAAATGTGCTGAAGTCTTAAGAATAAATCTTTTTTATTATTATATTTAATTACTGTAACGGAACAAAAACGCGTGTAATCAACGACATTGTATCAAATGTATGCAGTCTAAATCAACACTAATCTTGATTTTGGTATGGCTAACAATTAAAACAGTAGAAACTATTTGTAAACTAGAAAATAGTAAAACTTGACATTGTCTGAATTTCTTGTTGCTTAACGATGTACCAACCCTATATATGCTCTTGCAAACAATCGTTAGTAATATTCTAATGGGATACTATGTAAAATCAACTAAACGTCATGAACCTTGAAATTTGTTTAATAAAGATCTCGTCTTCAAAGTATATAGCTTGTAAGATATTTATCATATTTCAATAATTATTCTACATCTATATCATAGGATAATAGTTTTTGTTACATATTTCTATCAATTATTTATATTCACAATACATACACTGCCAATTACCCTTTCGAATTAATAAAATTTGCGATTTAAAAAAAAAAACATAACTGTTTGTACAAAGTACATGAACAATGTGTAAAAATAGTGTTGATTTATTAGATGCGCAGAGCTAATTATTGTATAATCTTGGTTTGTTTTCATACAAACAGGAAATATTTGACGGAATCAAATAAGTCGTCTTTCAACCAATCATTTGTATAAATT